AGTACATTTCTATATTCAGATCGTATTTGAATTGCTGTCTATGCAAATCTATCATAGAGTTAAGTACCTTTGTTTACTAAACATCATGAGCACTAATTTGAAGTTTTGTTTGTTTACTAAACAAGTAAGCTCTCAATCATTGTTAGCACTGTCTGAACTTGTTTGTGTTTGTTTACTTGTAAGCTCTCAATTGAAGGAAGAAAGGCTCAGTGAAACTAGATTTCTTAAGACTTGTTTGTTATTATAAATTGTTTGATAAATAATCTTTTTCTGAACAAAGTTGAATTGATAAAAAATGAGATGAGCTTATGTTTTCACGCCCCTTAGCAAATATCCAAATATGCACTTGAATAAGGTTGTTAGAAAAATCCACTGGGTTATACCGCCCACTATTACTTTTTACCACTCTCCTTTAGACAATTTTACTCTTTTTAGATTTTATTAAAAAAAAAATCTCTCACTCTTCTCTCTACATTCTCTTTCTCTCGTCTACCGGCCGACCAACTCTATTTGTCTTAATTTGTCTTTTAATTTTCAGCTATCTTCTATTTGTTATTTTTGGAAGGATTTTTGAAATGTGACGACTTTGTAATGGACTTGGATATATTATGATATTCGATTGTATTTATACGTTATTTTCAACTTATGTTTGTGATTGACTTGAGATCAAGTATGTATATATGTTCTGGAATTTTTTAGTTACAATGTAGTATAGCATTTGAAATTAGATAAAAATAAAATAAATTAACGACAAATAAAAAAACAAATTNGAAAAAAAAAAAAAAAACATTACATCAATATTGAGCCATGTCCTAACCTGCTTTAATTAGGGCTGGTGTACTTGCAAAATATGTTGCCAAATAAGGATCAACACTTGCATTCCAGCATGTGGTTTCATGTAGCGGCTTGGTAACGATTCAGCCACTACACAAAAATAGAAGAATTAATATATATGATCATATATATGAAAAACAAATATTGTAATGAAAGTATATTAACTAAAATTTATTAAATGACTTACATGATCGGCATTGGCGCGCGTAACGTCCTCGTGCTTGTTTGGCACTACCACTCAAGATAATAGGATGAAAAACCTGAGCGTACCAGGGTACTCATGGGCCTCTCCTAGATCAGCTATGGTGGGGGCTTGTGGATGGACGCTAACAGTGGTAATTGGAGTTAGTTATTTTTTGCAGCAGTATCAGCATGCTTAACCTTGTAGAGCCTAGACTCCCAAACATGTACTGCATTGGTTGGACGGATCATGCGGGGTAGGGATAGTCTGAACGAAGTCCATCTGACGTATAAACTGAATAGACATGTACGGTTCCACCGTATTTGGGTTGAGACCGTATGACAACTAATTCACCTGTTCACAATTAGATAAAAACATTTATTAAAACAATTTTATTATTTTAAATAATTTTTAACAAAATGTAAATAAAACAACTTAACGTACTTTGGTGACTGTGAGAATGCCAATGCGCCGACGGAGAGATTTGCGACGATGTTGATCGTCTTCGTCACCCCCTAAGCTCCACGAGGCAGATCGTGCAAAAGTCAGGACCGATAGACAGATTTTCTCGATGGGGTCGTAATGTGGGGAAGTATTAATATATCCAGAAGTGCATGAGAGTCAAGCAGCTAGACAGTCCATGTGCGTCCCCACTGTTGGCAATACCTAATTGTCTGCATAGGTATGTCTGTGCAGTCGAGCCCCAGGTGTAAATCCCAACTTTGCTCACGTCGTCGATTATCTCGTGCAGCACTTTGGGACCTACCATATTACCACTCTTGTCCATAAACAAGGTGGTACTTAGCATTCCCCAAATTCAGCTAGTAGCCTCAGCCTCAGTCGATTGAGCTGCCTCTCTCCCCTTAAATGCCTCCAAAATAGCGGCAATTGTCATTGAATCGTTATTAGTTCTGTTAAATTAAACGAGCCTGACTCGGCTCGGCTTGAGCTCGACATGTTAAGGCTCGAGTTCGGCTCGAGTTCGTGCCTTAACGAGCCGAGCTCGTCTCGACTTGATAAGGCTCGTTAAGGCTCAAAAATTGAATTTTTATATAAATTTTTATAGTTCGGCTTGTTAAAACTCGAGCTCGGCTTGTTAAGGCTCGAGCTCGAGGCCTTAACGAGCCGAGTTCGAGCTCAATTTCAGGCTAGTTTATTTAACGAGCCGAGCCGAGCTCGGCTCGTTAGAGGCTCGAGCTCGAGCTCGAGCACCCTAAGCTCGAGCTTGGCTTGGCTCATTTACAGTCCTAATCGTGATCCTAGAACGACGCCATTAGCTGGCTTTGGTCCATTCTAGCATCTCCATGCAGTACGCCATTAGCTGGCTTTGGTCCACTTTAGCATCTCCATGCAGTACGCCTGGCAGGATAGAATGTCGGGGTTCCCTGTCACTATTTCTGCATCCACAGGAACCCCCAAAATGGCCCGAATGTTGTGTAACGTTGTATTCATTTCACCAAAATGCATGTGAAACGAGTTAGTATAAGACTTGTAGAGCTCCACAAATGCAGAAATAAGTGGAGTGTCCACGTGAGTATGCTGGAGGCCGCCAGATGTGACAGTCCGGTCTGAACTACCAGAGTGCGTGGAGCGTCATCCATCTCTATGTGACAATCCCCAACTTGGCGTGCGCTCCCTGTTTGTTTTTTGGCATTTCAGCATGCCTCTAAGCTGTCCAGTCCAAATACGGGAGGCTACGTGTCCTAGAAAGCTAGGTATAACACTTCCGTCAATTGGGCCATCGGCCACTGGGCCTTTAATGATCTGGACTGTACAGTGGCCGGTGGCCCCCTCCCGTATTTAGACTGGACAACTTAGAAGCATGCTGAAATGCCAAAACAGACAGGGAGCGCACGCCAAGTTGAGAGATTGGTTCAGAGAGATGGGTGACGCTCCACGCGCTCTGATAGTTCAGACTGGTGTCACATCTGGCGGCCTCTAGCATACTCACGTGGACACTCCACTTATTTCTGCATTTGTAGACCGTTGGTAGCCTGATATTAACCCGTTTAACATGCTTTTTAGTGAAATGAAAATAATGTTGCACGACGTTCGGGCCATTTTGGAGGTTCCTGTGGATGCAAAGATAGTTTATCCTGCCAGGCGAGTAAGCATGGAGATGTTGGGGTGGACCATCAGCTGACAACGTCGTTCTGGGATCACGGTTCGGTGACAATTGTCGTCATTTTGGAGGCATTTAGGGGGAGAGAGGCAGCTCGATCGACTGAGGCTACCAGTTGAATGTGGGTGATGTTAGGTACCACCTTATTTGTGGACAAAAGTGATAACAGGGTATATCTCAAAGTCCTGCACTAGATGATCGACAACGTGAGTAAAGTTGGGACTTACTCCTAGGGCTCAGCTGCACTGGCATAGCTGTACAGACAGTTAGGTATTGCCAGCAGTGGGGACGCACAAGGACTGTCTAGTTGTTTGACTCTCCTGCACTCATGGATATATGAGTACTTTATCCCATTACGACCCCAACGAGAAAGTCTGCCTATCGGTCCTGAATGTCGCACGATTTGCCTCGTGGAGCTTGGGGGTGACGAAGACGATCTACATCGTCTCAAATCTCTCCGTTGGCGCATTGGCATTCTCACAATTGTCGAGGTACGTTAAGTTATTTTATTTACATTTTATTAAAAGTTATTTGAAATAATAGAATTGTTTTAATAAATGTTTTTATGCAATTGTGAACAGGTGAACTGGTTGCCATACGGCCTCAACCGAAATACGGTGGATCCTAGGATCTTCTATTCGGATGCCTTAGGTACCGCGATATTGTGGAGTCGTACATGGCTATTCAGTTTTTGCGTCAGATGAGCTTCATTCAGACTATCCTTCCCCGCATGATCCGTCCAACCAATGTTATACGTGTTTGGGAGTCTAGGCTCTACAAGGTTGAGCATGCTGATACTGTTACAGAAGATAACTAGCACCAGTTACCACTGTTAGCGTTCGCCCACTTAGCTGATTTCACCCCCCACCATAGCTGACCTAGAGGAGGCCCATGAGGAGTACCCGACGTGGTACGCTCTGGTTTCTCATCCTATTATCTTGAGTGACAGTCTGTCGGACGAGCATGGGGTCCCTACGCGCGTCAATGCTGATTATGTAAGTCGTTTATTAAATTTTAGTTATGTGCTTTCATTACAACATTTGTTTTTCATATAATATATGTGGTCATATATATTAATTCTTCTATTTTTGTGTAGTGGTTGAATAGTTACGAAGCCTAATCAGACCACCTGCGGGAATGCGATGCTTGATCCTGATTTGGCGGCACATTTTGCAAATACGTTGGCCCTAATTAAGGCGGATTGGGACATGGCTCAACATTGATGTAATGAATGTTGTTTTTTTTAATTATTATTTTACTGTACGGGGTTGAATTGATTTTTTATTTTATTTTATTTGTCGTTAATTTATATTATTTTTATCTATTTTCAAATGTATAATACATTATAACTAAAAAATTCCATAACAATCAATGTATACGTACTCGATCTCACGTCATTCACAAACATAAGTTAAAAATAACGTATAAACACGACCGATTATCATACTATATCAATATGCAGGTCCATTCCGAATATTAAGCCACGACTGAATATCATAATATATCACTATCCAGGTACATAAGTTGAAAATTAGGAATCTTCGTAATGGACCTGGATATTGATATATTATGATATTCAGTCGTGTTTATACGTTATTTTCAACTTATGTTTGTGATTGACTTGAGATTGAGTACGTATACGTTGATTGTTATGGAATTTTTAGTTATAATGTAGAACAAACTAGAAGACAAAAGAACAATGAGTTCTTAACATTGTCAACATGATTATTTCTATACACAAATACTCATGAAACTGATTTGCAATAAGTTCTAACCAACTGACAAAGGTAAGTTTAGTGGCCATGCAAAGTACAAGTTTTAGGGTTAGCCAATTTGGTGATGAAGTGCCTCACAAATAGACAATATTGATATAAATAAATGATTTAAAATTGATACAGGAGGTAATGTATCACATTTGTGCAAGTCACAAGTAGCATAGTCCATAAGAAAGTTCAACATCCACTAGTTACATTTCTATACAAATCAAAAGAATGAAGGGAGAATAAAAAAGGGAGGGAACAAATTGGTATATACTCGAAAGAACCTCGCGAAAATCCAAAAAAGGATGCAAAAAAATGAATACAAACTCGACTCGCGACGAAACTTACAATCCGCACCCCTATTCCAGTAAAACTCCAAAAGAAGATTAAAAAAAAAAAAGAAAAAAGAGAAAAATGATTCAAAAGAATTAGCAGATTAGTATTGACATAAAAATGGCACAAGATTCATTACTACCTCAAAGGAATGGACTCCAAACTCGTAGAATTCGACTCAGTCGAGAGAGAAGGCTTCACGTACTTGCCAATGACCCTCTGATGAGTTCTTTTCCTAATCCTTTCGATTTTATCTTTGCTCTGTTGCCTTTTCTTTTCTTTCTCTTTATTTCTCATATTCCTCTCCTTCTCATATGTCCCTTGCCAGAATATCTCGCCAGTCAACGGCCAAAGCCACCGCTTTTTGGTTCGGTTGGAATCAAACTCCTCGGCTAAATCCTCGTCCATTGTCTTGAGGGTGGTGAGCTGGAACCATTTGACCCACATTTGACCTTTTCGCCCTTTGAGGTCGTGTTGTTCTTGCATGACACCTGTCTGTGGGTCCATGTACACCATCTTTCGTGCACTATGATATGCCCATACATTCACGAGTAGCTCGAGCAAACGAGAGTAACAATACTTGTCCTGATATAATATGCTTGAGAAATAAATAAGAAAAATAGGGGAAAAAAGAGTGTTTTATAATTACAAAAAAAAATAAAAGAAATGGAAAACCATTATTTATACCTTGGATAAACTGAGATAACATCGACCATTTTTCTGGTGTTCGTCATAGAATTTTGTGTCGAGTGCATCTACAAACATTCTGAAGATGGAAAAAGATTAGCTCATTATGCTTTGTACTATATAAAATAAGTTCAAGCAGAGGCATAAAGGGTAATGGAGGGAAGAAGAATCAGAAGAAAAGTTGAAACCTCGAAAACATAACAAACTCCATGAAGGATTTGGTCGGTAAAACCCACGAATGCATAATGGACCAAGTGCCTCCATCAGAAGGCATTGATGGAAGAGAACTCAAGTTATGCTTTATGCCGTACATTTGCTTTAGAGTCTCAGCAAACACAAACCTAAACACATGCACACATACCAAAAAACAAAACTATAATAATAATGTCAAGAATCTTTTCGGGATAGAATTTACAAATAACTGGAGATGGACCGGGAAATTAGAGCTATTAAAGTCATTGTAAATTAATCACATTTTTTTTTCTTTCTTCAACTTGTCCTGAATAAATTCCTAGCAAAAAGAATGGAAATTTGATATAAAAAAAACTTACTGGCAATTTCCAGCATTAATAGCATCGCAAAATGACCAGAAATCCTGTTTTGATGGGTTTCTTTGATCCATGTCCAAACGAGCCCAGAAGTACAACGTGTCGCCATGCCTTTGTGCTTCGATAGCATCCAATAACGATCTTTGGGCACTTTTAGACAAAGATTTCTGGTAAATTAATCGTGTCAGACAACATATTATCTTCAAGTAAAACCATATTTAACAAAAGCCTGATATTCTATTGCTATTTCTACATTTTCACTATATTGTTCATTTTTTTTTTCCTTCTGACAGTCATAATTTCATACCATATCTGCTGTAGCTCTCCAAGATTGAAATCCTATCCAAGCATTCTTGTGAATACGGTCAACTCGGTTAGCAATCGCGAAAAATGCTCCATATTCTCCCAATAAATCTCGATAATAAGCATCATTCAAAAGCGGGAGACATAAAGGAGCATCAATATCATCAGCCCATTGCCTTCGACTTTTCGTTGACTGCACGAAAAAACCCCGTTTTATTACATTTGCATCAGATTAACAATTTAACAGCCGGAAAATGTTATACAAACCATCCCCGAACATGAAAATTTTTTCAATGTAACAAATATCAGCCTTGAAGGTTAGTCTAATTATTTAATAATAAAAATAAGAAAGAACTCGGCTTTTCAAAATAATAGTACGATAGTATATTAGGTAGAGTGCTTTACCAGCCCAAGTCCTCTATATAGAGAAGTATGGTGCAAAAAGGGCCAGGTCCCAACTCCAAAGTAAGGTTCATAGATACATAGTGATTGACCAGTCCTTTCGAGTTCTTCGTCATCTATTTCGTGTAATGACCGATCTGCCCTTCTGGCATTTCTGTATACATCGTCCCAAGTTCCCCGAGGTTGATCTGTTCTATCCTTCAACTGCATTTAGTTTCCAATTATCAAGAAAAGAAAAATTGGAAAAAGTAATCGCAAAAAAGAAGCACTAGGAGATTACTAGTACTGTAAAAAATTTACCCTTGAGTTTTAGCCTAGATAATAGTTCATTTTCTCTAAATAAATTGCAAGTACTCCTTCAAGTGCTACAAATACTCCCTTGAGGTTTTACCTGAACAAACACCTACATTTTGACGGTGCAACTTGTAAAGTAAAAAAAGTAAAAAAAAAAATAAAAAAAAAAATAACAAGGGCGTATCTATAAATTGGAAAGACACCTAACTCCCCTTAGTTCACAACAAGTGTCGTTTTGGCTCATTAACTCTTCAAATGGTGATGTTTTGACACTCTCAAGACCAAAGCATAAAGATATTTGCCCAAAATTTTCTGCTTATTAATCCATCGACTAAAATGCATCTAAGGGCAATATTAAGATATTTTTAACACTTCCTTTCACATGCACACATTTTCCTTAGGAAACTCTTATAAGTTAAATGATAGTAGAAAAAGATCCACCAACTAACCTCTTCATCCTCTCTCCTCTTTCTCACAGTGATAGTATCAATATACTTTTGCTCTTCCCATATCTCATATGAAAACTTCTCACCCGAATCCACCGCTTTATTTCCACTGCTACCATTAAATTGCTTTTCGACTCTATCCAAAAACTCAGTCCTGGCTTGGTACAGTGAATGATTACCTCCAATTGCTTCAAAAAGATGCCACTGCCATTCGGCTTTCAGCTTTTCAGGAATATTGTTGGCAGCTTTGGGGACAAAAACCTCTGAGGGTAGAGAGAGAATGTTTTCGAGTAGGGACGTGTAACCTTCCACGCTTTCCGAGGCCATTAAGTTTTTAGCTGTACTTTTTCCCATAGACGCGATATTAGTGGATAAGAGGGAGAGTTTTCCATTTGAGACGGCTTGAAATATGATCCGACTGAGAAAATTCATGTCGTCCTTCGGGAAAATATAGCCGTTCACTTTGTGACTGACCTAAGATTGTCAATAATATACTGAGCAGATCAGGTTTAAATAAAGGACAGAGCCCACAAAACTAAATCAAGATTTCAAAGGGAGAAAAGAAAAGAAAAGAAAAAACAACTAGCTTTTGCATTTGCTAATATACCCACCTACTTGATTTTCATTTTAGAAAGTATACCGACAGAGGAGAGTATTTCATAAAACAATCACCACACTGAAGCAGTTCTTGTAATTATAAAAGAACAGAGCTTTTGTTTATTTGTTTGTTTGAACTAAGGTGACAAGCCAATATCTTTCCTTTTTTTTCTTTTTTTGAAATGTTAAGATGAATAAAAGGGCAGGTTTAGCTTTCCAGCGAACTCAAAACCATATTCCATTATCAATGAGTCAGCTAAAGCAGCTAACATGGAAATTGCACATAAAGTATGTCATGAATAAAATATTACATACTAATTCCTACAGACACGTACATATTTTCGTATTGCAGGCAGATCTGGGGCTACAATAGGTTTCTCCAAGCACATGGCTTTCAGCAAAATGTCGGGGAAAGAATGCTCGTCGAGAAACGACCCGTATATCACGAGATGTGCATTACTTATAACAGTGTCAGTATTTTCATTAGCAGGAACATGCTTCACTGTCCCCTTTGGATATCCCAATTTCAGAGAAATTGTCTGTAGAAGCAAATAGACTGCAAAATGTAAAAAGAAAAGGCCACCGGAAAAATGGACTGCAGTGTCTATTCTAATGATATTAATACAACATATAAAACAAACATACAAGAGGTTGATAAAAATGAACTGTTCTCACCTCCACGATTTTGCTGTAATTACCGGTCAAATCCCCAGTCAACACAATGATTTTAAGACGAGAACTCGATTCGCCAAAGTCCGTAAGAAGCGGATGCAATGTCTGTAAGACAAAGGCGTGATCGAGCCACATGCCTTTATATGATATTTGACTCCCCACAATTGCCATAACAAAACCATCGGGTGAATACCCCACTTTTTTCAAATTTGAACTATCTTCCATTGAAACCATTTGCTTATCAGCTTCCCAAGCTTCTTTTGGAGAGCCAGAGATGACAAAATAGTTCCCAGGATCGCAAGCCGAATAAGTCATCTGACGTTAAATTTGAGAAAACAATTAATATGAATTAAAAGTGTCTTCCGAAAACTTTCATTATAAATCACTACAGCCTCTTCACAATTTTATCTTCAGTAAGTTATAGATCAAGAACCAGAGAAA